AGAAAAGAAAAAAGAAGTTCTAGAACATAAAAATGTAAAAACCATGCAAGTGGCGGTATTTTGGACTCATTAACTCTCCACAAAGTGCTTCTTGGGGGCCTCACACCGTTTGAGGTATGGCCTGAATTCTGTGGTGACCCTTTTTTGCAGGGATGGCAGTGGTCTCCCCATTTTACAGCTGAGGAAGCTGAGGCTCACAGAAGGGAAATGGTATATGTGAGGTTAATCTAATGTAATGTGAGATAATGGCCCACCAGAAATGTCCAGCCATTCCAGCTTGTTCTAATTAATGAAAAAATAATTAGAATTCAAAAGGGGGTGGAGGATAGTAAATACTCCAGTTCTTTAAAATTACAAGAATATTGAAAGCTATATTAAGGTTTGCAAAAACAGCCCCATGGCCCTCCGGAATAATCAATTCTTTAAAAACTAGTTACCGGGATGTGATCATTTCTGGCCACATCTTTTTGTTGGAACAAATTCCCAAATTATAAATTCTCCTCTTGACCAGCCTGCCTTTTAGTGCACGAATCTCCTTGCTGAGAATGCCTGGATCTCACTCTGAGGTCAATACCAGGACTGCCTTTTCTGGAAACTTGTCTGGAAGTTTCTCCACAAATTGATCTCTGTCTCAGGATCCTAAGAGCTTAATCGGCTCAAGCAGTGCTACTCAGGGTGTGGTTCATGGGCAAGTACTGGTCTGTGACCCAGTGAGCACAGCGAGTGAGAGTGAGCATTAGACCTTGTAGAGCAATCTGACATTGGCTCACATCCAAGTGTGTGATCCTGTTTCCAGTAATTCACATTTACTATATCCGGAAATACTAGGTCACAACAGACTCTAGATTTTTTTTTTTTTTTAACCAAAACCTGGTCATTTGCCACTTATTGTTTGAGGAGCAATGAACTAGCATTCGTCTAGCTGGTCATGTCCTCACTCTACTGGAGCCAATAAGTCATCCTGTTGACAAGAAACAGAAGAGAACCTCTAGCCCTCAACGCAGTGTCTGCCTCCACACTGGTCTCTGGGGTGGGCTTCCGGGGGGCTTCCCCTCACCTCTTGAGATGAGTTCCCATCACCGGGTCTCGCTGTGGCCTCTCCAGAAAGTCTGGTCCACCACTTGGTATTGGCCAGTGGTGACTCTGGGTTGGTTTCCATCAGGTTGGGAAGGGCATGTGGGAGATCCAGTGCTGCTCTCCTTAAGGGTGCTTTCGTTATTCTTAGGAAAGCTATGGCAATGGCCTGGGGCTGTGATTGCAACTGGGAGAAGGGAGCCTTTTTGGCCCATACTGGAAGACCAGGTCTTGTCTTTATCCTAGATCACCTGGCTGGGTGACCTGGAGAGTATCCAGTCTTGGCAGAGCAACTGATCTAGTCCATGAGCGCATAGATGGGTCTGGTGACATCTGCCAGCTACCTTCCAGCCCTCGACATGCTTCTGTAATTGCTCCTTAAGCCAGGGTTGCACAAAAGCTAAGCAGCACAGAGTGCTTATTAGCTAAGTGGTTAATAAGGTCCCATTAGGGATTTGTATTTAAAGCCTCAGAAAGTACTGCCTCAACCCCTTCTAACTCAGGGGAGGCGATAATTGCGCGTGGGTATCACGGCATCACCGTGGAGTGTTTCTGGGAGAGCGCCTCGGAGTCAGTTCACACACCGGGCCTCGGGAGACAGCCACACAAGGGCAGTGTGGGCAGGGAGGTAAATCTGACCTCCTCTGTCTTCCCCCCTCTTTGATTTGATATAAACCCAAGAAGTATTTAGTATTCTTCAACCCCTTTCTGAGGGGCCTGGTCCGAGAGGGGGGGTCCCAGTGGGGTTCCCGGTGGGGGTCCCGGTGAGGGATGGAATGTCAGGCAAACAATGGCTTGTTGGACAACAAGCAGGGCACCTGAACCTTTCTTAGAAACAGGAGCCAGGTTTCTTGGCATTCGTGACAGCCTGTGGATGGCAGAGAGTGTGCTTGGAAGCAGAAGGCTGATCTCCTCCAGGTTGGGGCAGCTCGGGAGGTGAAGTAGGTCTGGGGTAACTGGCCTGGCTGCTGTGCTCCCAGGAAAGGACAGGCTTCGTAAAGTCTGAGAGGCTCCCGTCTGAGCCATGGGCTCAGACCCCCTACCTAGCAGGCCCATGGCCTGCTACAATCCCCAGGAGCCCCACATGTGGTCCAAGGGCTCCAAAGGGCCATGAGTGTGAGGGCTTCCTTAATGAGAAAGGGAGTAGGAGCCTCCTGGATCTTGTCATTCTCCCCAGCTTGCCTGGCGTCCTTCCCTCTCCTTCCCCCTTGCAGTGGCTGTGCTCTTGCTGGATGGAATCCAGTAAGCTGGTCTCAGCTTCTGAGGCAGGGCTCTGCTACCAGGAGCTGGGGGACCGCAGCCATTCGCTTTGCCATCCCCCGAACTTCCTGCTTTATCGCTGAGGCTTTCGTAGCAGACTAGATGTGGCCTCCCAGGGGCAGCCATGGGTTTAGATGGAGGCCATTCCTCCAGCTGCTCCCGTCACTGTTGTTTGCCGTTGCAATGGCTGTTCACCTGAGCCACAGTTCTCTCCGGCCACGCCTCCCAGAAGCCAGATTCCAAGGCTGGGGAGGGTCGGGACCTGCCTTCTTCCCAGATCCTGGGTCAGAAACGGTGCTTCCAGAACCGTTTCTGTGCTGTGTGCCTCCCTGAAGAGGAGACTGCAGTGTTCCTGGGGTGGCATTCATAGCTGGTGGGAAAGGGGGAGCAAGATAGGATTCGCTGGGGGTATTTGGGTGACCAGCCCATGTCCTCTTGGGCTGTCAGATCCACCTCTGCCCCAGCCCAGGACACGTGGATGGGGAACCAGAAGCTCACAGTTGCGGGGTGGCCGTCATGCCCTCCAGAGCACAGGCACTGGCGACCTGCCAGCAGTGGTGCCCAGGGCCCCCATGGAGCTGACATGCCAGCAGCAGCCTGGGGCCTCCGGCACGGCCGCCTGGAGCACGTGGTGGAGTTCCATCCCGTAGCCTCCTTGCTCCCATTCCAGTCACTGCTTCTGTAGGCCGGGGGGCACCCAGGTTAGATGCCACCATGGCTCCCCAGGGCTATGGAGGCTGCAAGGCAGGCTGGGAGCTGCTACACTCGGGAAACGGAGAGGGAGGAGTCCAGCTCCTCCTGGCCGAGCCCCGCCAAGCGCCAGGCACTTGAATCCCCCTTCTCTCCCTCAGTTCATACCACACGTCCATGAGGCTGGCACGATTTCCCCTGTCCTACTAAATAAGGAAATTGAGCTCAGCAGCTGAGAGTTTTGTGTCCAGTCTCAGAACTGGTTCATGATGGAGCTGGGGTCCTAACCCTTGCTCCCAGTCTGGGGTGCGGGGAGCGGTTCTGCTCATGATGCCTGTGAAGCAGCAGCTCCCAGCCCTCCAAAGACGGGGATGGCTATGGGAGGGTGGCTGTTGGTCAGCTGTCTATCTGTGAGGTCCTGGTTCCTCAGGGTGTGAGGGCACCCAGGCTGGGGCTCAGGGGACCTGAGAAGAGTTCTGAATCTTGCACATATTTGCTAAGTGGCCTGGGAGAGCTCCCTTCCTCTCTCTGGGATTCATTTACCCCATTTGTGAACCAAGAAACTCAACGAATCCTGCAGGCCTTGCATGCCCACGGAGCTAGTTCTCCAAATCACCTGGCTCACCCCAGGCCCCAGCGTTCCATCTCTGTCCTTCTCTCCGTCTCCAGAGTGCCTGCTGCCCATTCCAGGCTAGTTTTGCATCTCCTGGGACGTTGGGCGCTGTCTGCATGTGGGTGTGGAGCCCTGTCCCACATCCAGCCTGTTTGCGCTTTCCTTCTCAGTGCTAACTGGCCTCTACTTTTGTCTCTGTCTCCTCTACCTCTGCTCTCGGGTAGCTGACGGTAGGGAAAGTGTCCAGCGGAATAGGGGCTGCAGCCGAAGTCCTGGTCAATCTGTACATGAATGATCACAGACCTAAGACCCAGGCCACCTCTCCAGACCTGGTAAGGACGCACACCCCTCAGCCTTCACCTGCAGACACCGGCTCTGGTCTCCCAGGGAGGACAGCCTGGCCCACCTGAGGCCCCCGGCTTGTGGACAGGAGGTGTGACAATGGGGTAGACCGGTGCCAAGGTTAGAGGGAGGGCTGCATTTTCTGAACGATTAACCTCACTCGGCTCCCCTCAAGGTCGTTTCACAAGGCAGAGCCTGTCCCCTCATGTCTAGAGAGCTCAGTGAAAAGGCCAGGCAGGCCACCCCTTACCCTCAGTATTTGGCGTCCAGCTCAAGTAGCCCTTTGGCACAAGACTGAGAATCCAGTAACAGAGAGATACTCTGCCCTCTGAATTCTCCCTTTTCCCCAACAAGGCTGCCTGCTGCATCACCAGCCCTTTGACTGGACAGTTCTTTTGCTTTCCTTTTGATACATCCACCCAATCCCCCAGGCACATGGCTGCCTTGCCCTCATCCCCTCTCCTGCATTTAGGAATTTGCCTGGCCGCCCCAGGGGCTGGAAGACACAGCCTCTTGCTTTCCTGCAGTTCTCTTTAGCACTTTGACTGCCGCAGGCTTTCCCGGCCTGGCGTAAGTCACTGCAGGGGGACAAGAGTGTGGAAAGCATCCTTTTGGGGACCTCACTCTAGACCCAGGCAGCCCTTCATCCCTGGGGCAGATTGCTGGGGTCAGCGTCGCTGGGCAGGCCTGTTTGTGAACGATGCCCCCTCTGTCACATAGAGCGACGCCACTCCCACCTGAACCAGAGCAGCCAGCCTCGGAAGGAACCCCTCCAGGGCCTCCTTCGTCCTCAGCTGGCCTGTCTGGGTGCAGAATTAACAGCAGCCCACGTGGGGCTGGGGTTGTTGGGGTCTGTGCCGGGAGCGGATCCTCCGCCCCTCGGCCTCGCCACAGTGCCTGCAGTGAGATGAGCGGCAAACAGGAGCCCAGGGGGTCCCCACGATTGAGCTCAGAACTTTCCAGGAGTCTCGGTGTCAGCCCTGACGCATGGCGCTCCTCTCCCGCCACCCTCTGCCCCCAGGAATCCATGCGGAAGGTGTTCCCCCTGAACCTGGGCGGCAGCGACACCTGTTACTTCTGTAAGAAGCGTGTGTACGTGATGGAGCGGCTGAGCGCCGAGGGCCACTTCTTCCACCGGGAGTGCTTCCGCTGTAGCGTCTGCGCCAGCACCCTGCGTCTGGCCGCCTACGCCTTCGACGGTGACGAAGGTAACTCCCGGGGGCCGGGGGCCGCGCCGGGCTCTGCTCTGGCCTCCTGTCCGCTCGAGCCTCTGGGGCACCCCCGTTCTTCCCAAGGACTGTGGTGTCCCCGGGAGCGCTGTTCTGGGAGCTGGGAGATCCTGCTATAGCAAGAGCCCCCCCCCCGCCCCTGAGTGGGCCCGGGGGGCCATGAGTGCCTGCTGTGTACCAACCTCGGCCAGCACCTACTGTGTGCCGAGTGCTTGACATACGAGTCCTCACCAGTACCCCCACCTTCTGTGGCCCCGTGTCAGCAAGAGGATCACACCTGGCTTGTAACAAGGGTTCAGTAAATGATGACTTATTAATGTTTTTATTTACAAAGTATGTCTTACAAAAGCGATCATAATAGCAACCTCTCCTCTGAGAAGCAGCCTACCAGGATGAACCGTCAGCCAGCCACGTAACCTTGGGCCTATTACCTAACTTCTTGGTCCCTCCGTTAGGTCATCAGTAAAATGAGGATAATAATAGCTCTTAGCTCGTGAGGTTGTTGCGAGGTTGTTCAAGGGAGTCAATTTGTGGAAAGTGTTCAGAGGAGTGTCTGCTATATTGTGAGTGCCGGATAACTTTTTCCTGCTGTACCATTGTTACCGAGATTACTGTTGTAACGGTGAACAAAGAAGTCTTTTCTGGAAGGTGCCCAATGGTCCTGGGCTGTGGCCAGGGACCCAGGGCAGCCCTCACCTGGGTCTTTTCCTCTCCTTCACTGCTGCCATCTGCTCCGAGACTTTCCCACCTTCAGGGGCCCCCGGAAGGACTGTGAACTAGAAACAGTGCTGATACTCGGAGCTGTCCATTCTGCAGCCTGGCCGCTGGCCTTGGGAAGGAACTTAGCCTCGGTTTGGCTTAGGGATTATCTGAGGGCTTCGGCCCCGTCCCCGGCATCTCCCACCACTCCCCCATCGCTACAGCCTGCTCGGAGGCAGCAAAGGGTCCTACTACCTCATCTCAGTGTGGCTTCTTTAAGGCACATGGCAGAAGCCAAGTTTGAGGCCTCCCGGGCTTACTCCCAGTATTGGTATTCCCTGACCTAGACAGGGACAGACATTGGCATGTGTCTGCCGTGGCTCTAATTTACAGGAGAAAACCCATGCATGCCAGTATGTGTATGTTTCATTTTACAGGCAAGTTTTTCTGCAAGCCTCATTTCATTCACTGTAAGACCAACAGTCAGCAGAGGAAGAGACGAGCAGAGTTGAAGCAACAAAGAGAGGTATGTTTTGTCCTGAAAGCGCTGGTGAAACAGGGAAGGCCCCTGGATAGGAGACCATTTTCAAAGGTCCTTGCGAGCGAGGCCAGAGTTTCTGGGCCTGGAAGGGCTGAGACCAGCAGATGAAGCCGAGAGTCTTTACTGTGTGTGCGGGGTGGAGGGTCTCTGCCTTAGCCTGTTCTGCCAGCCTCTGGGTTTATCCCATTCTGGAGGCTGGCTTGCCGGTAAGCAGTGGTGCTGGCTTCTGAGAAGAGCTTTCCCATGTCCCAGGGACGGGACTATATACCCAGCCATGGGAAAACTACAGGGTCCCCCATGCCTGGGTCCCACATGTCCGCAGTGTTGTAGGCAGGGATGCCCCTCCCTCCCCGTGGAGCCTGCCTTTCCCTAAGTCTACCCACCCCGGGTCCCCCGCCTTGAATGTCAGCAAAGTGACAGGCTGCTGGGTGTGTGGCCAGTTGGTGACAGAGTCCCCTCTGGCAGCTCTTAGCAAATACCTTCTCCACTGCTTGATGAACCACTGCTCCCCCCAGCAGAGACCCACACCGTACAGCTCTTTTTGGATTACACGAGGCATAGAGGCTTAATGTAGAAAAACGGATGGACAGAGTATGTAAAGAAGGAAAGTTAAATGGTCACTACTCTGTTCTGAGAAACCCGTAACTAACATTTTGTGAAATTGCCCTATGTGATTGTTTTTTCACCTAGTTGGAATCCTATCACTACATTTTCATATCCTTCTTTTTATGTAGCAACAGTATACCAAGAGCCATTCCCCATAACATTACAAATTCTTTCGAAGCATCATTTTTGATGCCTGTAAAAGATGGTTAATAATTTATTCAACAAGCCCCATGTTGCTGAATGTTTATGTTGTGTCCTATTTTTACCTTATAACTGTTTCCATGGCAAGTATCTTTGTACAGCCGTCTTTGTCCCTGTTTCAAATTACTTACTGAGGACAGATCATTAGAAAGCGTTTCTGAGTCAAAGGATGTGTGAGCCTTGTGTTTTTTGTTTTGTTTTGTTTTGTTTTTAAAGGATGTGTGTTTTGAAGGCCTGTGAACCCTGTGGTCACGTTGGCCCCAGGAAAGCAATGCCCGTATTCAGCCCCCCTTCAGCAGTGTACGGGGGCTCTTACGGGGGTGGGGGGGGCTGGTTGCAAATGCAGGGTCTGCCATGGTCCATTTGTGTGGGCTCTCTTCGTCTGCTCCATCGTTGGGGTGCTACATGAGAATCATGGCCTGATGCCCCCCCTCCTCTCCCTCTCTTAGGAGGAGGGACCGTGGAAGGAGCAAGAGGCCCCTCGGCGAGACACCCCCGTGGAAAGTTCTTGCGCAGCGGCTGCCATTGGCACGCCCGAAGGCAGCCCTCCAGGTATCACCAATTCCTCCTTTAGGAAGGCGCTAAGCTGGCCCCTCGTGCTGCCGTGGGGCCTGCTTCACGTTCCCCGGAGCCTGATTAACTGGATTTGGGGACTCCTGTGTGCAGCCGGCCTGCATTTCAGGGACAATGCTTACAACTACTGCTACACGTATGAGCTCCTGAGCCTCGGGCTGCCCCTCCTCTGGGTGTTCTCTGAGGTCCTGGGCTCCATGTACGGCGAGTCCGAGGAGTCCCTGGAGACCATCCGCAGCTGGGTGCTCAGATGCTTCCCGGTGAAGCTCCCATGAAATGCCGAGCACCCCAAAGGGCCCTCACATTTCTGGTTCAGGCGGCAGTCTGAGTGTAGGTGGCCGGGACTCTGGCTGGCAGCCTGACGTTCTCTAGACCATTCGCTCCAAGCCAAAGAGCTTCACCCCGGCCCCCCGCGCCTGATTGCATCCAGGTAGACATCCCCTCCTGGTGCTGGGGCCGGACAACATGAAGGATGTTTTTTTATAGCTTTGTACTTCTTTTATACCAAAGCGAGCCATAGTTCTAGGTTTACATTTCAATTTTTAACTTTTAATCAGCCAAGAGAAAGCATTTTTTTTTTCCCCGATGAGTGTCCGTTTTTCTCAACACGGTTTGAAGTTTATAACTGGTATCATGAATCCCCTCCACGGCGTAGTCCGTGGCCACGGTTGCTGCCTGCGACACTCATGGTTTGGGCTTTTATAGAAACAGAAGTGAGCGTGCCACCTTCTGATCAGTGCCTTTTGATGTATGTACCCTGGTACCACTTGTCCACGGGGACAGTGTTTTGGCAACACGAAAGCATCATCAGTTTCGAAGAAAAGAGTAGATGAGAGTAGAATTAAACCTTACGGAAGCACACGGCAGTATGTCGTTGGTGGTGATCTGTCCTCCCGGATGGAGGGGGAACTGTTTTGCACCCTGGTTTTGATGTCAGATTAGTAGCTTAAAGGTTTTTATCCTTATCACCAGACCACAGCCAGATGACCACGGGGTTTCGAGCAGATTGCTACAAACATACATGGTCCCTCCCTGTCAATGAGCACGGCCCAGAAGGCCCCAGGGTCCCCGACCTTGCAGAGCTCTGGTGAGCTGGTGCCTTGCAGGAGAGGAGCTATGCCCCCGCCCGGTCCTTAGCCCAGGCTGCTGTCTGAGCCACGGCCACTCAGGGTCCGTAACAGTCAGGCTGAGGGAAGACTCTGCCCTCTCGCATCCTGTGCTTTGGGACTGAAGCCGTCTGTTAGCCCCTCAGGGTATAGGATTTCTGCGAAGCGTGACCTCCCCAATGAGCCCTGCTCACAGACATTCTGGTGGCTTAGCCACTCAGCTGCCACGTGGATCTGGCCAAAGCAGCCAGTTTGTATTCACACTGTCCTAGCAAAGGAAGGTGTCTGACCTCCTGTGTCTTGACTGGCTGGGGAGGCTGGGAGCAGAAGCTGTTTGTTGACTGATATAAAGAAATATGCCCTACTGAGGGCAAAAACAGGCCTTGGGTCCACCCTACCTGTGTCCTTCACTCGGGGCTTCCAGGGGGAGGCCTCTCCACACCCTGCCCTGCCCCTACACGTGCCGCTGCTGGGTCTGCTAGAGCAAGGCTCAGGATGTCTAGAGTGTCCAGGCCGGAGATGGCTCTGTGCACTTGTGACACGAGAGAGCTCCTCTAGATTAAGGAGGGATGGAGCCTGGCATGCGTTAGGAGCCGAGGCGCTTGAGAACTGGGAGGTGACAAGTTTTATAGGGCAGGAAGAAAGGGAGAGGCATTTCTACCAAGCCTTCCTTGACATTCTTGGAGCAAACAGGGGCACGGCTGTGTCCCAGCCTGTGGGAACTGGCACCTCTGTCCTCATTGGAACCGTTCTCAGTCCAATGACTTGTGTTGGATTTTTCCAAATTTTTGCTAGAATTTTCATATTCGGCATGGTGGGAGGAGCCCTGGAGTCATGCTGTGTTTGAGTCTAAAAGGAAATTCTTGAGGGCATGATGTGAACACGTGCACAGCCGTGTCCCGGCTTCTGTCTTCAGCCCAGGGTGGGCAGGGATGCTCTGTGGAGTTCTGCTCCGTGAACCAGAGTTAGACTCTCGGAGAATGTCATTTACAGCCATAAAGAGACTGGTTTGAATTACTCTGGTGAGACGGGGCGTGCCTGTCAGAAGCCTGAGATGTTTGTATGTTCTGAGGCTGTGAACCTTCCTGGTGGGCAGAACTGAAACGCCTGGTGATCCCAGGAGGCAGACGTCTCTCGGTCTCCGTAGCACATTCAAGAATGAGCATGGGACACTGGAGCCAAACTGGGACAAAGAGATCCTGGAGGGCAGGGGGTCCTGAGGATGCATGCCACTCAGAGGGGAGAGTGGGGAGCGCTGGCCTCGGCCAACTGCACGCCCCCACTCTGGCCGATGGGTAGGCGGTCACTACCAGAAAGGTCCATCGGTCCTAAGCAAGCGATGATCTGTTTGGGGAAGTTTCCCTTTTATCGATGGTTGCCTCATCTTCAACTCCTGTGCCTTTTGTGTTACCAGTCTTTTTCCCTTTTTCCCCCACCCTGAACTAAATTCTCCTTTCTGTCTCTCTCTCTTGCCAACCTTACACTGTGGCCACCAGTTCGTTTCAGCCTTCCAGTGCTACACCCACTTCTTGGCTGACACACTTCTGCTCGGAGGTGACTGGTTTTCTTGCCAATTTTCAGAAAGTGGTACTAACGCCTAACATGCTTTCTGTGCTCTGTCCTCTGTGCCGCAGTCCTGGCCGTGCTAACTGCAAGCATCTTGCATACTAACGGACTCATGCCATGGCCTGGGGGGTTGGCGACGTGGGGTGGCATTCTGCTGGAAAGCCATATTTGACTCTACTTACCCCTGAGCCAGCCGCCCGGTCCACACCGGCAGCATGCCTACCTCCCTGCGGCCCCCCATGCGGCCTGCGTGCATGCCTTTCCCCTTGCGAAACCGCTTACCTTCCCGGGACTGGTCCCCCAGCTGTGAGACAGCATGCCAGAGAGGGCTCTGTCCCCTGGGAAAAGAACTTCAGTCTAGTAACCGCTGAAAAATACATGCAGACAAGCATTCTTACCTCGATTCTCGTATGCAGATTCTTGATCAAAACCATGGGTGACTCTTTGGGGAAGGGCTCAAAAAAAAAAAAAAAAAAAAAAAATGCTCCCAGCCTTCATTGCAGGCTTGAGCCACCCAGGCTTTGTGTTTTTGAACATACCACCACCACACCCCCGGCAAATCCTTTCCCAGCGCAGCCTCTGCTTTAGACACAAGGGCTTTGCTGTGGCTCTTCTGACTGTTCTTGTCTCATCAAGCCCCAAGGATGCAGAAGCTTCCACTGGAGCAATTGTTGTCCCATGCCAGAGATGGCTGTGGACATGACTCCACTCAGCCCTGGCCTGGAGCAGCCCGCGTCCGTGCCGCCATGGCTCTGCTCAAAACACACGTGCCCGCTAACTCATTACCCAGAGCAGCAGGACGTTCCAAGTGCTCTTAGAGGGGGACGCCGTGCCAAGGCTGGGGGAGCTGTTGCACGTAGGGCCTCAGGCTCTCAGGTGGAAGGGGGCGTCTGTCCTGCATGCGGCCGGAGCACGCCGACCTCTCGGCCTGTCTGCACGGGCCCGCATGCTGCATTGCTCGCTGCACTGGTGCAGAGTCTAGCCAGTACGAAGTCATCGCTCTTGTCTTGTCTTCTCTTGCAGAGTCTCCCTCCCTTTGTAGAATGTCAACCAGAGAGGGCCCTCCTTCCCTCTCAGCCTTCTCTTTAGCTAGCCTCCCCCCTCACCCGCCCATCTCCTTGCAACGCATGTCTGTGACCTTGGGTAGCCATTTACAGTGCCACATGGGACCCTGTGTTTTGCACACAGCCAACGATGTTTAGCTTTATTTATGGTATTTGATGCTGTAAATGAAAATAAATATGGTTCTTTATAAAGCGCATTGTTTCCTCTCTTCTTTGCCATGGAAGCTGCTCCATCCTCAAACACGGGGGCTGGTTTAGGGGGACAGTCTTCCCTAAACTGCTGGTGGGGCCTGCACTCATGGTGACGTGGGACGCTCTGGGGCTGCGCTGGGCAACTCTGAAAGAAAATATTACCCAGGGGTAATATTTGGAAAAAGGTCACCAATGCTCCTGGGCCAGGCTTTTGGGTCTCTTTCTTGAAAACTCATGGTACTTTTTCTGTGTAGATTCTGGGCATAGCTGGGTGAGGGTCAGTGTCACCTGAGCTGTGAAAAAACAGACTGTCTTAACAGCGCCTGTGCTCATTTCCCCCCACCCAAACCGCACACCTGTCGGAGAGCTTTCCTGAGGAACCGTTCACTAACCTAGGTTCCTAAGTGACCGAGGTTGCTACAGGTCTTACGCTGGTCCAGCTGAGTGAGAGGTGAAAGGCAAAAGGACCAGACATTGGTTTCAGAATGTCGATGAACACGGCAGGTGTGCTTATCCAGAGGGAGAGCCATTTGTGATTCTAAGAAGCCTCCCGTGAGCCCAAAGGCTCAAGTTACTCGGTGTCTTAGGCAGCAGAGCCATTCTGAGGATAGAACCCATGGCAGGCTCTGACCCAGTTCCAGGCTGGTCTCCCCATACAGGAAGGATTCAGCGTCTCACTTGGTTAGTGTGAACAGTGCCAAGGAAGTCTCGCCCTCAGCTTCCCTGGGTTGGGAAGCCTGACATTGCCAGGCTGGATGTAGCTGGGCTTCTGATGCTGCGATGCGCCTCCCCTGAGGGGCATCTCTGGGGCCTTGGGCCTCTGCGCTCCACTGCCAGCTCCTGGAAGTGTCCTCTGAGCTGCCTGGGGTCATGTCCCAGGTGAGATACTCTTTCTCTTCCATAAAAGGAAAGGTGTTAGGCACTGAAGTTAGGAGCTCGGTTGGACGAGTGATTCATTCCTTTATTTATTCATCTGTTCAAGTATTTGTTGAACACACACCATACCCTAGACATATTCCAGGTCCTAGGGCTGCAGCAGTGAACCACACAA